TACTACGCTCTTTAATTAAATCGACTAAGTTAGCTCGATAGTTCTTTTAAGCTTTCTTATTAAAAATTTATATATAGAAATTTTATACTCTAAAATAATTAGCTTTTTACGAATATTATTACTTTATAATTTCGTAAATTATAAAAGCTTAATTTACACTTTCTAACGCTATAAAAATTATAAAGTTTAATCTATTATTAATAAATTAAATAAATATTTAAATATAATAGTTATAATAGTTATATTAGACGTATTTAAAATCGAATAATAATTCTTTCATCTATTTATATAATTATTCTTCTTTTATTATTTTATTAATTCTATTAATTTTATTAATATAAATATAATTATCTTCGATATTTCTTATCTAAAGATTATTTAATATTTTAAATATATATATTTCTATTATTCGTCTCTTAAAGCTTCTATTAATACTTTTAGACTATTTTTTAATAAATTTATTATTACTAATAATCGAGATCGTAAGCGAGCTTAATAGCTATCTATTATTACTTATAAATATATTAAAAAACTCTTAAAGAGCTTAAACGAATATATTCTTTTCTATATACTTCTTCTAAATTAGCGATAATATCTTTTAATTTAATAATATTATCTTCTAAAACGCGTCTTTCTCCTCTATTTATTCTTTATTATCTTATTTTAAAATCTCTTAACGCGTATTAGATTCTAAATATTATTAAAAAGAAGCTTTTAAAAATATGATAATTATATTAAACGCGTTCGAAATCTATTCTCACTATATTAAGAAGTAAGAGAAGAAACTATAATAGATAAATACGAAGAATATTACGGAGAAACTAAGTAGTAATAAGATTATTATCGTTAAGAATACGACTTAGCTCTTTAAGATTTCACGTTATATTAGTTATTTACTTAGTTTAATATTCTATAAGAGAAGAAGTAAGAGAAGAAACTATAATAGATAAATACGAAGAATATTACGAAGAAATTAAGCGGTAATTAAAAAGCTTACTTTCTTAATACTTAAGAGTTAAAATCTTAAATGGCTTCTACGCTAAGAAGCTAGTAACTAATTAGATTATCGAATTTTACTATTTTTAGTCTAAAATATACCTTATTTCTTTATTTTCGATCTAAACGCGGGTATATACGGGTATATTTAAAAGAGGAAGCTAAAAAAGAACTTTAAATTCTTTAAATCCACCTTTTTTAATTTCTTTTCTTTTATTAAAAATATAATAATAAATTAAATACGTAGAGTTATAGAATTACTTATACGCTTTTAGATAATATAGCGTAGATGAAATTTAATGAAATATTCGTCTATCGAGCTTGCGAGACGAGCCTCTCCGGGGAGCCCTCGGAGAGCTCTCGGAGAGAGCCCCGGGTCAGGGGTTTTATAGGGTCTCCCCTAAGTTTATCATAACGTCTCTCTTAATTCTCAGAGTTAGAAGGGGGTCTCCCCGTAAGTATATCATAACGTCTCTCTCAATTCTCAGGGTTAGACTCCTTAAAATCTCTTAAGCCCTTCGGAGCTCTTTAAGGGCTCTCCGAGAGCTTGTATCGGAGGGGCTGTCAAAGCAATCTCGAAATTAATCAAATATCACTAAAATAACCAAATTTCGAGCTTGCTTTGACAGCCCCTCCGATATAAGCTCTCGGAGAGCCCTTAAAGCGCCCCCGAAGGATTTGAGAGGTTTTAAGGAGTCTCCCTGAGAATCAGATAGTCAAAAACCAGTACTCCGCAAGCTTTCCACTACTGGGAAGCCCGCGCCCCAGCACATATTAAGGTTACCATCGTCAAAAACACGGCTCAGCTCTCCAAGATCCCACGTCACATGCTCTCTACGGTTCCACATCAAATTATCACTTAGTAAGCGGAGAATATCATTGCAACTTAGCCTGTCATTCCCACTGCATTAAAGAGTAAGAGGAGGATCTATAACAGGCAAATGCGGAGAATACTGCGGAGAAACCAAGCGGTAATAAGGCTACCATCGTCAGGAATACGGCTTAGCTCTCTAAGATCCCACGTTATATGCTCTCCACGGTTCTATATCAAATTATTACTCAGCAAGCGGAGAATACTACTGCAACTTGGCCTGTTATCCCTACTGTATTAATATGGTATATTACTATAATAACGTTATAAGAGAAGAATTTACTACGACGATTATAGCTAATTAAGCCTCTATAGAAGAAATATCGAACGATATATATTTAAACGAATTGAAATCGTTCGATGTCTATAGCTATTTTATTATTCGAAAGATTTTACTATAATAGAAGATATTATAGAATTTATATTACTAATTAATACGTTATCTTTATTTCTTTTCGATATTTCGCTTATAAGAGAAGAATCTACTACGACGATTATAGCTAATTAAGCCTCTATAGAAGAAATATTAAACGATATATATTTAAACGAATTAAAATCGTTCGATATCTATAGCTATTTCATTATTCGAAAGATTTTACTATGATAAAAGATATTATGAAATTTATATTACTAATTAATATATTATCTTTATTTCTTTTTAATATTTTAATACTTCTTACTATAAGAATATAATCTTTCTCTATTTTTTATAGATAATTATTACGAATTAATTCTTTATACTCGATATACCTTTCTAATTAAATCTTAGCGCGTCTCTCTTCGTATATATATATTTATATATAGATTAAAAACGTATAGTAAGCGATTAGAGTTCGATTTAACTTAGAGCTAGAGCTAAAATTCAATTTAACTTAGAAAAATTCAACTTTATAAATTTAATTTATAGGCCTTTACTTATATTAATATAATATATTACTATAATAACGTTATAAGAGAAGAATCTACTACGATAATTATAGTTAATTAAGTCTTTATAGAAGAAATATCGAATAATATATATTTAAACGAATTAAAATTATTCGATATCTTACTCTAATAGCTATTTTATTATTTAAAAGATTTTACTACGATAGAAGATAATATAAGATTTATATTACTAATTAATATATTATCTTTATTTCTTTCTAATATTTTAATACTTCTTATTATAAGAATATAATCTTTCTCTATTTTTTATAGATAATTATTACGAATTAATTCTTTATATTTAATATATCTTTCTAATTAAATCTTAGCGCGCCTCTCTTTATATATATATATTTATATATTATATAGATTAAATTAATTTTATAATAATAAAAGTAGATTAAAAACGTATAGTAAGCGATTAGAGTTCGATTTAACTTAGAGCTAGAGCTAAAAATTAATTTAACTTAGAAAAATTCAACTTTATAAATTTAATTCATGAGCCTTTACTTGTTATATATATAAATTTAAGATTTTTAAGCTTAATTCTATCTTATTCTTTTATATATACTAATTATAAACTTATTTCTAAAGTCGATTAATAATTTAACGAGATATTTCGATGATTATAGTAATAATTTAGATAGTAATCTTAGTCTTAATTAAAGTAAATACTTAAATTTAAGTCTTATTATTATAATTAATACTCTAAGTATTAGATATATTAATAAAAGATAATTAAGATAGAGAATAATAAGAAGATTTCTATCTATTATACTATATAAACGAGACTTATATATTAAAAGTCTTTATACTCTCTCTTTATTCCCTTACGCTATAACTAGTACTTTAATATTATTACTATTATATATTCTATTAATATCGCTATTATATATATACTTTATTCTATATATACTTTATCTATATATACTTCATATATATATACTATATCGCTATTATATAGAGTATTAATACTTATTAAAATAAAGAATAATAATACTATTTATGAAATTTAGAAGTATACTAAGCACTTAGTTCTATTTAAACTCTTATCTTAATATATCTAGAACTTTTAATATCGACCTTCGTAGAAGATTTAAATTAAAGGTTTTAAAAACTATATTATTAATTTCTCTCTTATTCTTTAACGTATATCGAGAAAATCTTAAAAGTAATCTTAAATACTCGTTATATTTATAAATTTATTTAAGAATATTATTATAGAATATACCCGACCAGATTTTACACATTAATATTTATTATATTTTTACTTAAAATTTATTTATTTAAATTATTATCTTAATTAATTCATTAATTAATTTAAATTTTTAAATTAATATTTAATAATTTATAGATATAAGTAAAGATATATAAAGTTTTATTAATATTTATTTTTAATTTATTTAATTATTTAATTATTTTAAGATTTTTAATTTTTTTTAAAAAGCTTAATAACTTTAGAGACTTCGAACTTTAAATTTAGAAAATTTATTATATTATTATTATATATATTAAGAATATATTTATAAATTTTTATAAAAAGTAATAATTCGATTATCGAGTAATAATATATCGAAGTTATAGATTATTAAGTCTTTAAAATAATTTCGAGATAGCTTCGAGGTAGCTCGCTCCGAGGCAAAGCTACCTCGGAACTTACTAATGCTTTTTTTGTTTTATTCCATTTTATATATATATATTTTTTTTAATGATATATACCTAGGGGTAAATATCTCATATTAGTCAAACCACCAAAAAAACGAGGCTTGACAGGGTTTCCTACTCAGACCCACTGCGTGGGGCCTTTTCTGAGACTAGAAAAGATTGGCATGCATGCCACTTACGTTGTTTAGAAAACGGCCATAGGTGGCAAGCAAGATCTTGCAATCCATGTATCTAGAAAAAGAAGCTGATCTTGTCAACGTGCCAATAATGTTTATTGGCGGGGCGCCTGGGATACCTGTGGGCTAGAAACATGCACAGTCGAATTCGAGGTGTAGAGAGGCATATGTGGACGCGGACGTAGCATAAGTGGGCTTAGAGTAGCCACTATCTCAGCAGGGCTCGATTTTCCAGTGCGTTATGCTATCATACACAAGAAGGTCGAGCTACACAATGCAAGGGAACACTTTGCTCTGGGGCCTCCTCACTAAGTTGAGTAGAGCTTACTTCAAATAACGTCACTTGTAAGCCTTCGTCTTCGCCTTCAACTTGCTTTCTCGTCTCCATTTACTGCCTGCACGCATTTTTCCAAGAGCCCTTTTTCTCCGAGATGAAGGATAGCTTCCATAATATTGCGGTCTTCTTGCTCTTTTTCCTGCTCTACAAGCTACACAAGCACATTGTCAGCACACGTGTTATGGCCAAGACGTTAAGTTGGACCTGGCGACTCACTCGCTGATAGAGTCCGACTCTCTCCTTTCTTCCTTCATTTCTTCTTACCTCCTGGCTCCCCGCCTTATGGCTTGCCCTTTCTGGCAATCCGTGCAAATACTTACAGCGGCTGCCTCGTTTGCAGAGACCTTTATGGAGGAACTCTCGGCATATCTGCTTCGGCTTTGCACGCTTTGGAGGCGCAACTCTCTCGGGCCCGTTTCGCTTTGTGGAAGTCTCGTCAGGAGCTCCGTCGTCACTAGCATCGTCGGAAGATGAACCGCTGGAAGATGTAATATCTTCAGAGACTGTCGAGGAAGAGTCGCAGCTCGAGTCGGACGAGGAGACACTTGAATCTTGGATCGATCGGTCCATCCCAGGGAAGGAGTGTCCGTCGCCTTCTTGTCCGTTTGAAGGATTCGCTTGATCAGGGGCACTATCTGCGTTGAGAGCTTTGGGCGGAGGATCTCGTTCTTCATCCGCTAATGCCGGCTGCGAGGTCGGTGTCAAAGGATCAGGCACTATGCTTGCGGTTTCTTGAAGCTCTGTCTTTACTAGGTCGGTGTCCTCAATCTTTGCGCTGCAAGATCCACCGCTATCTGATCGCTTTCTCTTCTTGCTTTCATTGCCGAGGGCTGACATATCCGTTCTACCCATTTCCCTACTAAATTCTACCTGATCTTTGGATGTCTTGGCCTCTGCTTTGGCAATGCGTCTCTCTTCCTTCTCGAGCTGTTTTCGAAGCTTTTCCACTTTGCGCTTGGATTTCGCCGCCGCATCTTTGGACGTGGTTTCACTTTTCTTTCGCTGCTTCTCTCCTTCCGTCGTCTGCTTCCGTCTTTCATTGACTTCCGTTCTGTGCTTTTCTTGAGCTTCTCTACGAACTTGATTGGTTGCTCTCTGTTGCTCTTCGCGCTGCCGCTTACCCTCTGCAATCTCTTCAGCGCGCGCTTTAGTTGGAAATTTCTTCTTGCGTTCTTCTATCCAGGCTGTGATATCTGACGAAGATTGTAGGGTGGAAGTACGACCTTTAAAGTCGAATTGTAAGCTAAGGAGACGTCAGTGAGCTATGGCTGGTAGATTGCTGCCAATTAATATGCTTACAGCTGAGGGCCTTGACCAGTGCTCGCAGCCACGGCGGCAAGTCTGGCCTCTTCGTCTGCGTCGTCTTCCTCCTCTTCACTGGACTCATGTTCCTCTGCTTTAGGAGTCAGACCTAGCTGATTATGTTTTCGCTTCTTCTTCCTGGGTTTCCTAGTAGTTTCATGAAGTGCTGGTGGTTTTATAGGGAGAGGAAGTGGACCTCCAAAGCTGGGCACTGCGGGTGCAACTTGAATTCGGTGATTCTGGTTTCGCGGTCTGTGGAAAACTTCTCCATGTCCACGTTTCTGGCCTCGGCCACGATATCCTGGGAAAGGATTTGGAGATTCGTGACGGCCAGAAGGGAAGCTCATGGGAGAGCTGTGTCGATAAGGTGAATCGTGGCCGTTCGATAATCCATGCTGATGTGCGTTGGTTCCGTTCGCAGTCGGCTGGGCATGTTGCTGAGTCTGATGACCAATTGGCTTTGCATCAAAGCCCATGCGTATCGGTGGACCCATCAGTAGAGGCTGACCAGCGTGGGCGTTTGTTTGGAACGAAGTGTGGTTTTGAGGTGCAGGCAATGGGGCTTGAATAGTGGGGAGTGAGGGACTGTAGCCATGCGAAGAATACTGCTGTTGCCCATTGCCATTTTGGGTAGAGCCATTTCTATTTGCAGTATATGCTACTTGAGGTGATCGGGCATCCAATGGAAAGGCCGGGATTTGCTGCCCATAGCCTTGACGCAAAATAGTGGGATATTGAGGGAGCTGTACCGGCGGATAGCTGGGCAGGGGACACCCACTTGTTCTGTAATCATTTGTATGAACATTGTAACCCATATCGGGCGGTAAGTGGTGCCTGCTGACGACATCCAAAGAGGAATTGCCGTAGGATGAAGTCGATTGCGAGGAGCCAAAGTGTCCACGTCTTTGATTACCTCGATTAGAACCATGGCCATATCCTCGATCACTATGATCTCCTCTTTCTTTACTGGTGACCGCTCATCTTCGTGTGGTAATCCAACTCTCGATAGAGAATGAGGTTACATGAGGTTTTTCCTTTGGCTTCAAAAAAATCTTTTCACCCACCTAAAAAATCCCCCAATTTAAAAAAAAAAAAAGCTGTTGGGGAAAAAAGGGAAAAAAACGGCGGCGTCCTTCCCTCCCCCCTTCAATCCAAAAAAAACCAAAAAAAAAAAAAAAAAAAAAAAGAGTATTTTTCCCCCCTAAAACACAAGCGACTTTTTTTATTCTTTATAATAACTTTATTATATTAAGTTTAATATAATTAAAATTACTACTTTACTTCTACTTCTACTTCTAATAAGAAAGAATTAGATTAAGTTATAAAATGTTAGAAAAGAGATATCTAGACTAATATAAGAAAGGAGAGACTTAAATAGCGTAATATTCTTCTTTAGAGTATACCTTTACTATTAGAGTATTAGCTAATAAAAATTAAGTATTATATAGCTATTAGTTATCTTTTAAGCGATATAGAAATTACTTTATATATCGTATTTAGTCTTATATAGACTATTATTATCTAGAATATACTTTATAAAAATATTAATTTATATATCTCTCTATAGAGTACTTTAGATTCTATCTAAAAGTCTATCGATATTTCGAAGCTAAAAATCTTCGTCGCTATTATAATCTATATAAGAATCTTTTATTTTTCTACTATTTATAATTATTAGAGAACTAATAAAATTACTTCGATAACTTTATTAATTACTAGAAATATAACTCGAAATCGCTATATTCTTCTTCGAAAATTTATTTATTACTTAGACTCTATCGAAGAGAACTTTAGAATTATTAAAATAGATAGATATAAATAGTCTATATAATATAAAAAGCTTTAATTATTTATAAATAAGATATAAAGTAATTAAAAGAAGCTTTATATCTTAAGTTCTTATATTATAATTAATAAATATATAATTAAGAAGATAAGATATATATATTATTTTATAATAGCTCTAGGTAAATTAATTAAGAAGAAATATAAGCTATTCGTAATTAGCGATAAGAGCTATCTCTATAATTATATCTAATATTCTTCTATATAAAGTCTTAAGAATAAATTAAAAGTTAAAGATCTTAAAGATATATTAGTTATAATATTTAAATTAATTATTAATATACTACCTTATAACTCTATTCTCTTTATAAATAACTATTTTATTAAATTTAAGCTAACTATAACTTTAAAAGATAGAGAAATTATAATATATAAAATTATAAAGTTAAATCGATTAAATCTCTTAAAATTACTTATAGAGATAAAATAAGTCTTTATAAGAAATATTTTATATAAAGTTCTCGCTATAGTAATTTAGAATAATATATTAATAATAATCTAATAAGATAATAATCTTATTCTAGTCTTAATTACTATATATAATATAAGAGAGATTAATAACTCTATTTTTAAAAAGAGAAAACGTTTTAGTAAGATTAGTATAAATAGTTATATAGTTCTATCTACTTTTAAAGAGAATAATTAGAATATATAAAAGAAGAAGTTTTAAGTTTTTAAGCTTTTCTACTACTATAATAAGTATATAAAGAAAATTAATTAATTTAATATTTTAATAATTATATATTCTTCTTAGCGAGCTTATAATCAAAATTAAATATCTCTACTTTATTAATATTTAGATAAAAGTCTTTTAAATATCTTTAAGCTTTATAAATTAATAGAAACGTTTTATTAGAAGTATTAGAAGTTTCTCGAGCTAATAGTAATAGAATTAATTAAAGAAGATAGAGAAGATATTCGATCTCGGCCGTCTCTTATCTTAATTATTACTCTATTAAAATTACTATAAGATAATTATAACTAATAAGATTTAAATACTATTCGATAGTATCTTATATATTATTTAAACGTTTAGAAGAGGCGTTTTAATAGAGAAATTAGTAGTAATAGTAGAGAAGTATTAAAGATTAAAGGGGGATACGCTATATATAAAGTCTCTTTATATTATAAAGGGGATTATATAGAACGATTTTATAATAGAAAGAATTAAATAGAGTCTATAGAATGGATTTAAACCATTAAGTGTAGATTATATAGTAGTTATAAAGTGGTAGTATTGATAATAATAGTAGAAATCGCATTTATTTTGAAGTAATTTTTAAATTGGGGAAAAAAAGAAGAAAAAAAAAAAAAAATTTTTAAAAAAGAGAACCCCCCTTTTAAAAAATTTTAATTTAAAAAATAAAATTTTTATAAATTTTAAAAAAAAAAAAAAAAAAAAATTTTTTTTTAATAAAAAATTAAAATTTAAAAAAAAAAAAATATTTTAATTAATTTTTATTATTTTTTTTAGTATCGAGATCTTAATTTTTTTATAGATAATATATATTATAGATATCGAATATAGAGCGTTTAATATCGAGATTTAAAGTATCGAGCTTAAAAAAAAAAATTTTTTTCTCAATAAAAAAAAAAAAATAAAAAATTTCAAAGAAGATTAAAAAAAAAAATAAAAAAAAAAGATTAAGATTAAGATTATAATACGATATCGTATAAGAATAATCGACGTTATTATCGACTTTAAGCTTTTCTCTAAAATTATAATTAATTTTAAGAGTATAACTATAAGAGAGCGCGCTCGATATTTTATTATTAATAATTCTTTTAATATCGATTTATAATACGTCGAGCTATAGAGAATACGAGATTAAAATTTAAAATTAATTAAGATATATTAAGAATAGAGATAGAGAGAAATAAAGAAAATCGGAGAAAAATTTGATATTCTTAACTAAGATCTACTAAATTTTTAATTAACTTCTAATAAGATAAGAGTTTTCTAGAATAGTCTTATAGCGAGACTTAATATAGAAGTAATTTTATTCTTAAGTTAGAGAGAAAGTAAGCTTTTTAATAATTATATACTTATTATATTTAATAAAGTTTTATCTATTATTTATATCTATTTAATATTTACTAGATTATTACTTACTAGTAAAGATTTAGAAATTAAATTTATAATTTTTTTAATTAAGACTATTAAGTAAATAGATAAGCGAACTTTAATAAGCGATATTTAAATTTCTTACGCTTTAATAGTTATAAAATCGAATTTTATAATTTTTTTATTATTAAAAAGCGTAAATTACGGACTATAATTTAAAAAAAAATTTAAAAATTTAATTAGAAAATAGTAAAGTTAGTAAAGAGTTAAAAAGTAGAGTAAGAGATTTTAATAGTTACGAATATTAATTAATTTATTTATAATAATTTAATCGATCTAATTAAAGAGCGTAGCGAAATTAAATTTATAATTAATTATATATATAAATTTAAGATTTTATAGCTTAGCTCTATCTTATTCTTTTATATATACTAATTAATATAATCTTAAATAAGTCTTTAAAGTTTTTTTTAAATAATTTAAGTATTAGATCTGATACGTTATAGGCCTTAGCGCTACTTACGCTAAGGCGTCGATATCGCATATACTACGTTAGAGTCTCTTTTAGAATCTAATTTTAATAATATATCTTATATCTCTAGAGGCTTAGCGGATATAGATCTACTTTATATATCTCGAAATTTTAATATTTCTTAGAGATTAATTCTATTATTAAATATACTATTAAATTTTATAATAATACTACGTCTTTTATAGTCTATATTCGCTAGCTAACCGCTAGTAAACTACGCTTTTATAATTCTAATCTCTCTATCTTTTAAAGGAAAAGACTTATTATTATTACGATATCGAGTTTATCTCTAGATTATATAATAAAAAATGAAGGTAATAACGAAAGCCGTTATAGCGTCGATAATAAGTTTAAGAATTTCTTATTAATAAAAGACTTTATTATGAAAGAACGTCTTATAATCGCTAGAGTTAAAAATTGTTATCTAAAATAAGAATAAGAATTAGCTACATTAGAGGTTTATAATCGCGAGCTTTATAATATTAGCTTACCGTCTACGGCTAGCGAAGACTTATCTATACTAATTACTATCGCGCCTCTAGCGAATATATTAATTAAAATAAAAATACTTCGCTTTAAAAGAATATATTTTTATAAGAGTATTAATAAGAAAGAGTATCTACGCTAATTCCGCGAAGTCGAAATTAAGTTTCTTATAAGTTCTAAATATTTTACTACTAATTAATTAAGAATTATTTATTATATATAATTCTTAAAAGGCGATCTTAATATTTAATAATATAAATACTATTAAGTCTATAGTCTAAAGAATATAACTTTTAAATTCTTTAAGTAGTTTTTATTTAATTTAGTAGCGAATCTAGTAAATCGCTATTTTCTTATATATAAAAAGTAAGAGAAAGCTAAATAACGCTTCGATTAGAAGATATTTATTTTTAAGATCTATTTAGAGAAGCTAGAGGTCTATATAACTTTATTTTCTAAAAAGTATTAAATTAATTTCTTCTTAACTAAGCTTAGATTAGAGCTTAAAAATAAGATTCTAAATATTAATAATATATCGAAATAATAAAAAGAAATTCTTATCTAGGCTATTATATAGAAAAAGATTTTAAAACGCGTATACTTCGATAGCGATTTCTATTCGAAGTCTTCGAAGAGGTTCGCTAAGAATAAGTCTTTAAAGAATCGAATTTCGAAGTCTAAATTAGCTTTAAACGACGGCGCTTACGTAGCGCGTACTTAAGACGATAATATAAAGCGTAAAATTAAATTCTTTAACTCTAATTATAAGAAGAATAGTTATTTTTATTATAAAAAATAGGATTATTAAATATCTAAGTATCTAGATCTCGATAAATCGTCTATAGTCTATATCGATATAATATTAATAAAAAAAGATTCGATCTTAT